TCTCAGGCTGTGTCTGATGTCCAATTGTAAGTAGGTGTCACTGCGCTGGCGGCTATGGGTACAAGTTGATTAGGTTAGGGTTGATTGGGCCGGTCTGTATGATATATAGAGAAGTCTAGACGTAGCGTAGAAGAGTCGCCGTTTGAATATATTCATTTCGATCTAATTCATTCTGGCTGCCAATATCGGGAGGAATACTAGGTGCCAAGCCGGGCACCAAGAATGGATATGAATAATAAGCTACAAAGTCGTATATCCTATTTGATCCCATGTTACACAGGGTGCGGAATGTCTAAGTAATATGTGGGGAACATGGTCGGAATGTGAGCGGAAGGCAGTTAATACCACGACATCCTCTAAACCTGCGGAATGTGGTGGGAACAAGCTGGGAATGTGGCGGTAATGTGCTCATCCTCTCCGTGTTCCCCAACCTCCGTAATCTGGCGCTTCACGCGGTGTCGTCATTCCACATGTGGTTTTCCAAGGGACAGATGAGGAGAGATTCTGCGGAGATGTGGGCATACATTGCACGGCAGTTCCCGAGGGCCGTTGAACGCTCTAAGATCGACACGGGAAACGATGGTGACGGGTTGTCCGGTTTTGGGCCCGCTTTATAATTGTCATTTGATATGTCGCTTGTGCTAACCATGGACGTCTCCCGTGCTTACCAGGATAGTATCAGGCTTCAGTGTCAAGGGGCTCAAGAGCGGATAAATCTTGCTTGCGTCCGTAAACGACATCAGTAAACCGTGCATAAGCTTAATGGCTTAGCGCCTTGAGCCACTTAGCTCTCCCACGCCATATCTTCGAGCTGCTCACCCTCAACTCCGTACAGCGTGTCAATGATGGAGCGGAGCAGAGTGAGAGACCAAGAGAGACCAGTTGGAGCGTGTACAGACATTGTGACAGAGGCCGGTGCACGCGATGACGGTGTAGAACGTATTCGCATTCGCCCATCTTAATCGTCTTAATGCGTCTTAATTGAGCATCTTAATTCTTACGTCTTATACGATCTTAAAGCCATCTTAAGCGTCTTAACGCCCTTAAAGGCGAGTTTAAGGGGCATTAAGTGATTCCCAGGTTTCCTGATGGAGGACACGCGCAAGTGTACAAATTTGAACCCAGTGAGAGTCACATCACTCATGGCCGGTTGACCGCCGACGGCCGCCTTCTTACTATGGCGGCAAGACGAGGTTATGGCCACGCGCTGCGAGACACGGGTTGCGATCATGTTGCGCAATGTCAACCTACGCTCATAGAGAAAACCAACTAGCGCCAATGGGATCTCTCTTTACCCCTGCGTGTTGAGGCGGCTCACAGCGAAACGGTTGATACCCACAACATTGCCTGCTCTCTAGCATATGTTTAATCTCATGCAAGTGACATGGAACAAATAGCATACACGACCGTGAAATAGAGTGTGATGACAATGTAACCAGTCGTCATTCACAACGTGCTTAAAAGTCCGCAAATTCGCAAAGTGACGGGTATAACAGTATGACAGGGATCCTCAATAAAAACAGACAACAGGACAACGAACGGATTTAAATCTAAGTCCTAGCCGCAACGCTACATAAGCGTCGAGTTACGTATAGTCGAAGTGTGCAACGACTTCAGTTCTATGCGCCGCCTCGTCAACTGCAGCTCATGCTGGTGGTGCTCGACCTTCTTATTCAACCTGCGCCGCTCGTCCTCCAGGTTATCTTGCACTCGCTGGAGTGCCCGATGGCTTGGATCTGTGTGGAACATGGACAGAGCCATAGAGCGTGACTTGCTGCGAAGGTACTCCTTCTCGTCCATGTACTGCGCAGGCCATCCGGCGTACACGCCGTCCGGCTCTGCGATCTCGCCCGACGTCAAGAGCGTGTGTTCGAGAAGCATGGAACAGGATTCCATAGATGCTCCCGAAAGTAGGCGAGAACCCAATCGCAACGCACAACTGTTAATGGTGGGATTAGCACGTTTCGACCATTGGCGGGGCAAAACGAACTCACCCAGGGCCAATTTTTCAACGCATTCAAAGCCAAATCCCCGCGGGGGTTGATGTGAGCGACAACTGAGCAATTATCGAGCGCGACATTGTCGCCCAAGTCGACAAGGTCAGGCTCGGCCATCAAGCCCGTACGGCCTCCCGCGAAGACCGAGACGTTCTTGCCAATCTTCGCACCCATGGCGCGGTAGAATCAGACGATGTACGCGGATCCGCTGATAGCGCCAAGGACAGCGCCATCACCATACCCTCGCTATAGAGGCTTCGCGAGGACGAGATGGAGTTGCCAGCGCTGGCAGTACGAACCTTTGTCCCAGTCGTAGCTACCGGGAGCCCGGCGACCAATGACGATCCACTTCATGACGACGACCCAGAGGATGACAACGACCGCCTGGAGAACAAGGGTCAAGATAAACCAGCATGCTATCAGGCCAAATATGACAAAGGTTTGCTGAGGGCCCGAGGCGAGGAGGTCTAGCCGAGGAAGATGTATACGAAGCTGGTTGAGGACCTGGGTGCCGACGACGGCGGCGATCGACCAATATCCTGCGCCGATGATGGCGAGGAGGGTGTGGATGCTAACAAGGCGCGCTTGTAGAAAGCGCGACCGAAGGGCGTAATCGTCGGACTGTCGTCGTGGGTCGCCTCCTTACTTCCGCTCTTAAAACAGACCGCTTCACCGCCCTCTGACCCCATCCAGACGGTGCCGTCCGCGTATGTCATATCCCTCTTTGCGAGCGCGCCGGAGCCCATGATTGCACGTTTGCCCACGGACACACCAGCAAGGAGGACGACACGGTCAGCGATCATGGCACCCGACTTCACGACGATCCTGCCCGAGCCATGGGCGTCCGTAGTGAACGCTTCGGACCGGGACCCGAATACGACGTCGTCGCCAACTTCGAGAAGCTCTGGATCCGGATAGTATACCCCCGACCCGGGCCAGTACACGCGCTTCCCGATTTTCGCGCCCATGCATCGCCAGATGATTGAAGTCGTGTCGTAGTGCGAACCGATAACATCGAACGCACACTTCATAGCATACTGATTGAGGAGATGTTGGTTGATGAAACGGCGGGTAAGACCACTGCGAAGCGTCCGCAGCACGGCCCTCGCTGTTGAGACCCATGATGCGCTTGACGATAATGCCGATGACCAGCTGGAGAATTGGCGGAAGGATCACTCAGATGATACGGGCAAAGGCGTGCCATGCGACCCGTCTCGGTAACGAGAACCAAACGATAACGCGCTCGGCCGAGTTGAGATCGCCTTAGGGGCCAGGTTGTGAAACGAGGAGGTAGAGGGCGGCCCTCCGAATTGTGGCGAAATTGGGCCTACTCTGACCATCTCTACCATTCCTGAAGCAGAGATGGCGTATATATGCTGCCTGCGATCGTCCGCCGTATTGCTAAGCGACTTTCAAAGCCGTATCCTGCGCGACTTGTGGAAGTCGTTCCGGTCTTATGTCGCTGACTTGAGTCCTCCCAAGGTTAGCTAGCTGCCGACTGATAGACTGCCGATACAATGCCGCCTGGGGTAGATTTGTTCCTCCGTGTCGTTGCATTCGAGATGTGCGTCCTATAGGCTGATCTAGCAAAGACAGTGAATACGTGAACTCATGTCTAGGACTTGTTCAACATTTGACCACGCAAACGCACCTCCCACCAGTTTGTCAATCAATGATCGGGCCCGGGAACCTTCACGTTGCGACAGAGGGCCCGTTTGAAACGGAGGCAAATAGTCGGAGGCGGTCCAAGAAGGGCGAGAGCGGAATCCCGTGCCCGACTCCAAGCAGGAGAGAGGACGCATAAATGTCTTGCTTCTGCATCTCTAGTGAGTATGCGAATCATTAAGAACAGGTAGGCCATCGCACATAGCAACCGACTGTCGGAAGAAGAAACCTAGGCTTGTCGCTCCTATTTCAGGCTATCTGGTCCAGGCGGCGGTTCCAAGAGAGGAATGCGCAGTACCGGTCGAGTTAATGGAAAACCATGTTGAACTTGAAATTTCAAGTCGCCGCGTTAAGGCTATGAGGCAATGTATCAGTGAGCGATGGCTGGCTTCAATGCTTGCGTCCAGGACCGCGAATATATGCACGAAATTCACCCTCGAACAGGCTGCAGACGGAGATCGACCCTCGCGGTAATCGCTTCCATGCCAAATATATAAGCCATATGTGTTCAAAGGGATGCAAATGAGAAGCGGAAATCAAAGGCTCAGGGAAGTCAGGCAATGGAGGGGGTGAAAAGTGAGGCTTTTTGATGCGAGTTGCAGGAGGCGGAGGCGGAGGCGGAGGCGGAGAGAGAACCGTGATCGCAGGGAAGGGATGCGAGCAATGACAATATTCAGCATCGGCATATTCTTGTATGGACAAGGTCAATTAGGGGGAGCGTAAGTATGTCGGGAGCCCGCCACGCAGCTAGCGCTCAACCACGCCACGAGTCCATCGCCTGCGCCTAATTTCCCGGATCTTTTCGTTTCTTTGCCACACCTTTAACGTCTTCTTGCTGGAAACAGTCCCGAGACAAATCCGGCGTGTATATGCGGTCGACAGGGAGCGACGCTGCATCGAGGCCGTCTAGACTGCGCGCGCGTCGAGCAACGTCGACTAATGCCGTCTCACGGGCCCGTTGGGAAGCCGTCGCCTTTCCGGCCAAAGCACCACATCTACGCAACTAGGCTGTCGTTTACGGAGCGAAGCAGCCCTCGAACCCCGCCCTAACGTCAGGGACGCCTTGAATTATGCTCGATGGAAGGTTTCATCGTCGCCACATGACTGGGTTATCAGCTTCCTTCCATATGGTTGATATCAGCCCCGAGTGTGATCCCGGACATGCCGCACGTCGTATATATTGATGGCATACCGAGCTGCGATATGAGCAGGCTGTCGTCGGTCCTCTAAGTGAAGAGCGGTGCAAATGCCACGTCTCGTCGCTGCCGGTCTCCTGCTGGCCTCCCTCTTGCGGGGAAGCACTGCTGCCACATGGCCAGTAGTCTTATCTCTGTCTTACGGGTCTCTCAGCTCATCCTACATGCAATCAAAACAGGTGTGGAAAAAATTACATGGCGACTGACCCAGTGGTACCTCCCGGCGGTCAGTTCCCTGTCCCAGACACCTCCTCGAGTTCGCTTTTAGCCTTCCGCTGCGCCCCGATTATCAAGCCGTATCTCCCTGAGGATGCGTCCTCCCCAGCTGGCTTCTTGATCGACGCCCCAGTCACGTTCTCACAGGTTGTCGGTGCTGCACCCATCGCGCTACCTGCGCACGGTTTTGCAGGTGCGCTGGATGTCACACTCAAAATCGGCGGGAAGACCATCGCGAGGGGTCCAGTCGCAGTGAACGCGACGAAAGTCGAGATCCCGTTCTCGCTGAAAAGCCTGCAACCCCAGGCGACCCAGTTCAACGTGGAATGCACGGCGACGTATGGGTCGCAGACGTTCACTGCGAACACGACCTTGTCCTATCTCCCCGACCCTCCTGATGGGCGTTCAGTGACGAAGATGGACTTGCGCACTGGCGCGTTGCTCGCGAAGCCTGCCACGGGCAAGGGCGGAGCATACGAGATTGTCTTCCCGGTTGGCTTCTACACGAACTTCGCCGCATACATCGCGTCGAACCTCTCGCTTATCGACGAGATCGCGTCCCAGGGCTTCACAGTGGTAAGCTCTTCGCTCGCAGAGACCGTATTTTCTGCTGAACTCGATGCAGATCCACCCTATCCCTACCTTCGACAACCTCACAGCGCTCGCTGATGTCGTCCAGCGCATGGAGGAGGTCGGTATCTACCTCATGTACGACATGCGATGGTTCGTCTCGCCTGTCTGATGCGTATGTGCGCTCTTTCTGACTTCTCAATCACCCTACACAGGACGTACATGAACAACACCGCGGTCACCGAGGAGGTGAACCGCATCAAAAACAGCCCCGCGCTCCTGCTCTGGTACACGGGCGACGAGCCAGACGGCACCTCGGACCCGCTGAACGCGACGTCGACCGCGTACGACCTCATCTACTCGCTGGACGGATACCACCCTGTCTCGCTCGTGCTGAACTGCCAAGACTACTACTGGACCGAGTACACGGCCGGCACGGACATCGTCATGCAGGACACGTACCCCGTCGGGATCAATGCGACGTGGTCCGTCGAATGGGTGCGCGTCTCATCGCACGCAGGGTACGCTTTGCTGACAAGTGAGCTGCGACACGACAGAATACGCCATGCACGCCCGACTACGGCGACTGCGGGTGCGACAACTGCGCGGGCTCGTTCGAGGACATCAGCACGCGCATGGACGAGTTCGCGCAACGTCGCTTCTCCGACGGCTGGGAGCTCTCGAAGGCGGTGTGGACCGTGCCGCAAGGGTTCGGCGCGTCCGAGTACTGGAGCCGCGTCCCCACGGGCAAGGAGTTCGTCGTGCAGAGCGTGCTCGCGATCAACCACGGGGCGCTGGGCGTCGTCAGCTGGGACGCGCCTACGACGGACGACGTGACGGCGAGCGCTTCGGTGCTCGCGAAGTCGCTCGCGACGATGAAGGAGTTCATACTGAGCCCGCGGGCGACGTTTGCGCACGTGGTCAGCGATAGGGTGGATGTGGGGCTGTGGACGGTGGGCGCACGCACGCTCGTGCTCGCGACGAACCTGAACTATGAGGCGAAGGTATTCGATATGCGCAGCGTGAAGGGGCTGGCTGCGAAGACGCTGCTGGGAACGAAGCAGGTTCTGGACAGTGGGGCGGGGGTGCAGGGACACATCATCTCGCTCGAGAGCGTGGGCACTGGGGGGTTTGTCGTAGGGTAAGGTCACATACGTGCGCATACTTCTTTCATACGGATGCAAGCCAGCGCTGCGAACCTTGGAGTGTCTTCAGCTTGCAGCCCATGCGGAGAATTGACGTGAGTCAGAAGTACACGATTAATGGTTTGTCAGATAACGTCTATGGAACGGTATGATTGACTCGTTGTCATCGGCTTCTCTAGCCCACTATGGCACGTCGAGCCGCCACTGGCAACCAGCAGCTCAAGTAAAGGCTGGTCGCTAGGTATACATCTCCATACTAGGCTAGGACTTCCAAAGCCGGATGAGTGAACGCTCTGCAGGACCGAGCCAACCGTGCTGGTGCTTGACGACAGTGGATCGCGTCTCGAGGTTCGTCTTGGGGACAGAGTCGATACACACACATGCTGGCATGCAGCTTTTCAAAAACTCGGTATATGATGTTCTCCATGGCATACCGAGGCTGAACTGGCACGAGAGGGTACATAGATAGATGATCTGTTATCGACCAAATGCAGGGCGAATAAGCGCCGAATCCCGTCGACCGGCCCGAAAGTAGAGTAGTATTTTGGACGCCTTTCCTTTGCCGCTCATATTGCTACGTGTTGGCTTTTCTGTCCTCCTCAGTCTGCTCCTTTGGGCTTCAGCGGATCTCTGACGCGTATAACGCTTTCTTTCGAAGACCTCTGTTTGTGGGTTTCCCTTACATGGGCTAGGTCGTGGTGGCCGGGCGTACGCCGGTCGTGCATCGGTCGAACTTGCGGGCTTGGAAGCAAGCAATCTGGTGCATCTCTGGGCCGCAAGGTGAGCTGCGTTGACCGTACGATGTTTATATGACGAGAATATACTTCAGTTATCCCTGTCTTAAGACCTGCTAGGTTGTATGTCGATTATGTCTTGTTTCCTCTGATCCTCTTCCAACATCATATGCATATGTCGCTTCATTGATGCTGACTCACATTGTAACAGGTCATCCTTGCCTTCTTTGTCCGGCATCCCGAACCGACGCAGTGTCAATTCGGCCACTTTGGCACCACGTGTCAATCACCGCCCACGAGCAGTTATGCAGAGGTGCTCTCGGCGAGGGGTGCCAGGTGAGTTCCCGCACCTACGTCAGCTTTGTTGTGGCTTTCCCAGGCGGATCTCCGCGACGGGCCAGGAGTCGAGGGTCAACATGGCTCTGGCAGATCTGTGGGCTGTCAGCGATGTACTGGTGCGGTCATGGAATGCGGGGCAATTTATGAATGCTAGCACGTTCGTTGCTGTCGTGCAGTTGTAGTGTGCAATGGCGTGAACCTGCCGAGCCCGAGGATTGACAGGGCCAAGCCCAAAAACAGCATTGTTCACAGCGTGTCTGCAGCAAGTCGGATGGCTCATACGTACTGTACGTTTTGTTCGAGGTGATGTGTACATTACTTGTTGGCTTGCGTTGGTCTGAATTGCTTGGTCCGAGTCTGTCGAAGGAACAGACGCCGATCTCACATTGCTATAGATGATGACGTCAGAGGGTGGTCTCGGTACAGAGCCAAGTCCTGATCTTATCGCTACCAAGCAGGCCCTTGACAGGACATCCTTGGCTTGGGATAATCTTTCTTGTCGACTGTCGTGTTTATTGTATACGAGCCAACTTTGTTGAGCTGGCAGAGGACAGAGCGACTAAGACTCCCGCTTGGCAGGAAGATTGAAGTAGGGCTCTAGGAGAGTGGTTTTGCATTCGCGCTTCTCGGAGCTTCGTCGCGACCCTAGTACTTTGCGGGGCGTCGCGAAGCATTCCGTTGATCGGGTATTCAACTAGACGCATCACAGACGACGGCGTCGCTTGCAACGGCTCTCACTTCTGGAGGAACGAATTGTACAGTCGGAAGACTTGGCGCAAGGGTCTTGGAAGTTGGAGCACCGTGCGCGCGAACCTTCGCTTGCGCTTGGCGAGGCGTGACACATATTTAATCCCAAGCTTGGGAAGCCGAATAACGCTTCTCTTTCCGTCCTCCCTCCTCGCCTCGTCAGAGAGCACGGTCCATGCTATCATGGCCATCCACACCCTCCTTTTCACCCTCTTCGCCACGCTGAGCAGCGTGCGCGCAATCACCGTCTATGGTCAGACCGGACAGCAACACATCGGCACTGCAACTGCAACAGGCACGAGCAGCGCCGCGCCCACCCCAACGTCAGCAGCATATGACGCGCGGATACTCAACCCGCCCCCGCTGCCCAGCCCGCTGCCGGCGAACCAGTTCGGGATCCAGCTGCCCGCGCAGGCGAGCGGCATGAACGGGCTCTCGATAATGCAGAGCGGGGCATTCTACGGGTTCTCGGTGGAGATGTCGGTCGCGACACAAGTCAGTGAGTATCCGTGTTGGAATTACTCCTTTGGGCGTGGGATTTGCGGGCGCAGTGATGTCGGGCTGCGCAGTCGTATCGTCCGCCAAATTGGGGTTGATCGAAACGCTTGATACTAATGGTCGTTGGCAATGCGCATGTAGTTGGTCTGAACGGGTGAGTGGCAGAAGCGTATCCTATACTCGACAGAAGATTGTACTGACCCGCATTGCAGTACACATATCCAGCCGCCCTTCCTCAACCTTATGTCGCTCGTGGCGGAGCGGGCCGGGCGCGTCCACGTCCGAGTGGGAGGTAACACGCAAGAAACCGCGCGTCTGGTGTTGAGCCTCGATGACGGCAAGGCCATCGAGAAGCAGAAGGTGGACACGAACAACCCTGTACGTACCCCTCCGTCTCCCCTTCTCCGCACCCCCTGAGATGGACTAGTGACGCTGATTAACACTCCACGATGACGGGGACGGACAGACGCAAACGCCCGCACTACTGTTCACGCCCGAGATCCTGTACCTGCTCGCGAACATCTCGTCGCTCGTGAACGTGAGGTGGTACCTGGGTGTCCCGCTCAACGACTCCTCGGACATCCGGCTCGAGATTGCGCAGTACGGGCAGCAGATCCTGGGGGACAACCTCATCGGCCTCCAGGTCGGGAACGAGCCCGATCTCTACGCGCGGTGAGCATTAAGCAGACGCGAACCAGACGTGAGCCACGGAGAGAGGAGGGGCACTCATAATGCATGCAGGCATGGGCACCGGCCCTCGACGTACGGACCGTACGACTACTTGGGCGATTTCGGGAGCGTGCTGGGCGCGATGAAGAACCAGAACCTCCGCACCGACCTCCTCCTTGGGCCGAGCTTGGCCACTGGCGACTGGACGCCCGAGAGTGCGTGGCAGATGCGCATATATGCACCCGGGGAGATGGGACTGAGCACGATCCTTCACAGTGGTGTGGGACACCGGCTTCATCAACACATACAGCGACGCGCTCACAGCCCTGACCGTCGAGCAGTGAGTCCTTGCTCTTCCCGTCCCAAAGTCGGAGAGCTGCTCGGACACTGACCTGCCGCACCAGCTACCCCGACGACAACTGCGCCGCGCTCTACGCCGGCTTTGGGGACCCGAAGGACCCGCAGGCGGAGTTCGCGAAGTACCTCGACCACAGCATGGGCGTGAACACGATCCAGCCGTACCTCAACTCGACGATGATCGCCCAGCAGGCCGGCAAGCCGTTCATCATGTTCGAGACGAACTCGGCCTCGTGCGGCGGCTTCCCGGGGATCTCGACCAGCTTCGGCGCCGCGCTCTGGGCGTTGGATTATGGGCTGGAGATGGCGGCGAGCAACTTCTCGCATGCGTTGTTGCATGTCGGTGGGCAGAATGTGTACTATAACGTGAGTCTTGAGTGTTCTCCGCTGGGACAGGGTGCTGATTTGACGTTCCGTGTGTATGTGCAGCCCTTCACCGGTGTGTATTTCATGCTAGCGCATATTGCCATTCGAATGAGCTATACTCACGAAGTTTCATAGCGCCTCCAACGAACGAAACGTCCTACCACGAATGGACCGTCGGCCCGATCTTCTACTCGGTCCTCGCCGTCGCCGAGACGCTCGGGAACTCGAACAAGTCGCAGATCAAGGACCTTTGGCAGAACAGCGGCTCGCTGTACACCCCGGGCTACGCCATCTACGAGAACGGTAACCTCGCGCGCGTGGCGCTCGTCAACTTCATGACGGACCCCTCAGGCGCGAACGATTACACCGTCTCCATCTCCGTCGGCGGGGGGGAGAGCGGCCAGCCTGCTGCTACGCCCGCATCTGTGCAGGTCAAGTAAGTGTTGCGTCCATACGCTCGTACGGTGAGAACCAGCGCTCACACGGGCGACGCTCGCCAGGTACCTGGTCGCGCCCTCCGTCGGCGAGAAGTTCAACATCACCTGGGGCAACCAGACCCTGGGCGGCCAGTTCGAAGCCGACGGCACGCTCAAGGGCGACCTCCACCTCGAGACCGTGCAGTGCGACCAGCAGAACAACGTGTGCAAGGTCAAGGTGCCCGCGCCCGGATTCGCGCTCGTGTTCATGAGCGAGGACGCGGCGAAGGAGAGCGAGCCGGCGAGCACGGTCACGTTTGGGACGAGCGCGGTGACGAAGTACAAGAACACTGCGACGATCGACCAGGCGGTGCTCGCGACGTCGAATGGGAACAGGGGCATGCAGGAGATGCGCGGGAGCACGAGCTTTGGGAGCGGGAACGGCGCTGCGCGCACGGGCTATCCGGGCGCCGGCGCGCTGCTGGCGGCTCTGGTCGGGGCTGCGGCTGTGAGGCGCGTACTGACTGGGCGGGTTTGAGCTGAGGAGTGCTGGACGGGGTGGAAGGCTCGTTGGCTATGCACGTTTAGACAGAGACTATCTGGATTGTAATACACTAGCATATATTCACCTTGAATATCAACCAGTCTGTTAGTACATATCCTCAGCACGCTGCAGGACGGACCATAAGTCACTTCGCACTCCGTACCTTTGATCCTAGTACATCTGCGGTACCAATCCACTCGCCTGTGTGGCTTCTTCCTCGCCGAGGACTCGGTCCCCGATCGGCGTGCTAGTTCTTTGGTCCATAAGCCCTGCCTCCCGTTGACTATGGCGCGTCTTGCTTCTTGCTCCACCTACGAAATCCAGGACACCAGCCACTGACGGAAGTGGTCACGAGACATAAGGAGCGTCATGAATATTCGTCGTAAAGTATCAAGTCTAAAACATGTGAATACAGGTAGCAATGTCCCAAAAGTCCATGAAGATTACCAAGCGAAAGCAAGTCAAGATGAAACAATACAATATGATACCGAAGTCCTTCGCGGTGTGAATACGAATATGAACGAACAACCCTACGCTACTATGAAGACCATAGCATTACTAGAAGAAATTCTGAAGTCTCACCTCAGCCGAAGACCATCATAGCGCGCGCCCAGATGATGAACACTGTCTGCTGAAGCGAGGCCGGCGGCAAGTTCTTCGCCGTCGTCTCGCCCCCCTGGCTCGTCCCCGACAGCGGGAAGTCTGCCCCCCTGTGCCCATTGCTTTGCACGATCGCGCTCGGGAATAGCGTAGCGGTAGCCAGGCGGTTAGTCACCGACGTTGTCGAGTACGTCTGCGTCACGACCGAATCGGCGTTGTTCTGCGCGTCCGACGAGAGGAATACGAGCGCGGCGCCAGGTGCGGGCACAGGGATCGTGCAGGTATTGGCGGTCTGGTCACACGGGATCTCCTTGATGATTTCTTGACCGATGAGACGACCGTCGACTTGGAAGCGGGGGCCGAATGTCTGGGAGACATTTCAGGTTTGGGATGAGACATGACGGTGGGGCTTCGCGAGACAGGCTCAGCGTACCTGGTTAGCCCAGAAGACTTGCTGCTTCTCCGCCACAGAGGGCGCGGTGAGATATCTGGATTGTAGGTTTCGCCAGTTAGCTCTGTGGCAGACCGACAACAATACTGACACGATACAAACTTGACTTTCACGGACGCGGGGGTAGCATTTGGCTCGCCGGTAAGCCCGCCACCGATTGAGATCGTCGCCTGGTAGGAACCAACGCCGTTCTGCTCGGTCATGAAGTTGACCAATGCAACCCGCGCGAGCGTATCGTGCTCGTAGATGCCGTAGACGGGGGTGAACTCATTCGTAGTGAGGTCGACTACGCGGGAGGTGTTGGTCTTGCCCAGTGCCTCGGCCATGAAGAGGGTCGAGTACATGGTCGGTCCGACAGTGAACTGCTGGAAGAGGGAGATGTTGGTCGGAGGCGCTTTGAAAGAGGAAATGTGAAACGTCAGGCTTCGAGTTCGTCTAGAGACCACATAGCACACATACGGGTGAAGGGCTGCGAGAATCGGGGTCAGCATCTGACTCATGTGGGAGGAGAAGGCCGACATACGTTATAGGTGACGTTGGAACCGCCGATATGGAGCATCGCGCCCGTGAAGTTGCTGTATGCCAGCTGAAGACCATAGTCCACAGCCCAGAGCGCCGAACCGAAGCTATCGCTGACGCCAGGGAAGCCGCCACATGACGCCGAGTTGGTCTCGAACATCATGAACTCCTTGTTGAACTGCTGTGCGAGCGCTGCACTGTTCAGATATGGCGCGACCATCTTCTGACCGTTGGCGTGGGTGAGATACTCGGGGAAAACGTCCTGCGGGTTCTTGATGGCGCCAAAGCCTCCGTCAGGGAACTCGGCGGCGCAGTTATTATCGGCGTAGCTGTAGACATGTGTGTTAAGACTGAGGTTAGAAGGTACATGACTGGAACGCACTGTTCGAATGAGATCGTCTCAATGGCGGGTGCATAGGCGTTAAGATAACCCGTAGCCCAAAGATCCTCGGCCTTCCACTTGCCCTGGAAGCTAGGCGCGACCAACTTTGTGGAAGCCTTGGTGATCTTCTGATCGCTTTTTAGGCCATCTATTACTGTGCCGAACTCGTTGAAGTAGTCTTGAACGCCGTATGTTGGAGGCCGGCTTCCGTGACTACAAAACAATGAGAATGTAGCTCTCTGGCATGCACGGGGAGTGTAGGAATCACGTACGTTGCGTATAAGTCCGGCTCGTTTCCAACCTGGTATCCGAGGACATTGTCGCCCAGAATGGCATCCGCCTGCTCCGCGATTTGTAGTCGGAGGTGCGAAGTGTCGTTCATGGGAATACCGAGGTACCACTTCGCGCTGACCAGGTGTGACACGTTATTGAGAAGGTACAGCAATTCGTCGGTGAAGATCAGAGCGGGGATTTGCGCCTGAGAAGTGGAAAGAAATTCACATTTGGATACTCGGAGAACGAGATCACTTACGGTACGAGAGTTGCTGACCACCGCGCTTGCCGCCTTCTCGATCATGGAGTTGTTCGGCAGACCGCCTACAAGAGTTGCAGTCTCTTGAGAGTTACCCCCGACGCGGACGCGAACGCTACCTGCCCGGTCCGCCACCGTCGCGAGCAGGTTGAGGAATGGGACCTGAATGAAAGAGCTAGGCAAAAGAGTCAGTCTACCCCATCCGTAGCTCCAAAAGGAGAAGTGGACTTACGAGTTCTTCCCAACTAGACGGAGACAGGCACCATATCAATCAGCAAATCTCGGACGCGTTACCGAAGTTACTTACTGACTTGCTCCACAACCGACATCTCAATTGAGAACCCATAGAAGTCTCCCCTCTGCGGTATCGACAAGTTCGTGACGTATTCTGCTTGATTGGCGAGGGACACAGTAAATGCTGTGGGGGGCAACGGAACGGGCAGGGGGGGCGCCTGCAGCTGAATGTTATTCCATGCACCGAGAACGCTTGTCCATTCTGTGCTCCCCAACGTCGAGACTGGAGGGCTACCAGACTGTGACCCTGTAGGGTTCTGCACGCCCCCAATGCCATAGACAGTCACCGCAGCGTGGGTGCTTCCATGGAGAGCCGACCAGATCAAGAGAGAAACTACAAAATGTAGCATAGACCAAACAGCAAGGCGGAAGGGGGCTCAGAAGCTTGTCGTCGCCAGAAGATTAAAGAGGAAAACAAGAAGATAAGATACAAGCGGCGTGAGCGACGGGAGCGAAACTCGAGGGGAGGGAGGAAGACGCACCCGTAATGGCGCTCGGAGACTTTTATCAGGATGCAGCCCGCAGGCAGGCATACACTGCTTCACGCGTTCCTGGGCGGGCGCGCGGCTTGACGAGCCCGCGGCCTCACGGAACATCGCGCTAGGGGCTGGAAGCGCGACTCGGGCTAGACGGCTGGACGCGCCCTGCGTGACACATCCAAAGCGCCTGCATAAACCAGCGGTGATATTGATTTCGATCAGGCACTGTTCTACCTCGAGCCTGGGTACAGCCTCCCCGACGCCGCCGGCGATACGTTGGGTTCAACTTATGGAGGCAGCTTGAATATGTAAGACGCCTCACCTCGAGTGCGCTTTAATCTCGACAGTCCAGAATATGCCTGGCTCTTGGGTATTTAGCTTCATTCGCCTCGGGTGCTCAGACATGCTATGCACGCACCCAAGCTAACGTTATCTCGATGTCCGGACAATCAGACAGATCGCGCCTGATGGCTTCAATGGCACCCAATTCCTGTACAGTCAGATTTCGCGGTGGCGACACGAGTGACATACTTACAGAACCCCGGATCGCATCGGATCGAGCTCATCGTCAGAGGAGACGCTTGCCCTGCCGCAAACGCCCCGAGCTTCGAGCACGGCTCCTCGACTTGTAGGACTGTGCTGTGTTTGAGGATCCCGTTGGTGAGCGCTGCTAAGAACATGCCTTATCAACCCACCGTGGGTGGTCGGATTACGGGACTGCGATGACGCTTTCTTGTATCGAAAGATCAGACTCTATGACATGCGGCCACATTTGTGATCTAGGCATCTAGTGCATTCAATATCGTAATGCTAGCGTGTCAGTGAAGCCCGAACTTAGCATACAACGCAATCATGCGTCCATTTCGCAAGCACAGAAAGTGTCCGGAGGTCATTCTACCAAAGGTAGAGCACGATACCGAGCAGGACCGAGAGCCAGTTGGTAGATAGAGAATCGAGGGTACGCTTCGTGCCGTTCGCACCTCCCTTGCTCGTCCCCGCTAGTGGGAAATTGGGACTTCACCGCTATTCCAGTTGCTGTGTCGACCGTCACAGTTGCCGCGGGGTTAGTGACCGCAGTGGTCGAATACGTGTGGGTCACCTTGGGGTTTTCCGAAGCTTGTGCACCGCTCGAGAGGAAGACCAAGGCCGCCCCGGGGGCGGGGACGATTATGACACAGCTATTCGCAGCCTGGTCGCAACTGACGGTTTGGATCACCTCGGTACCAGATAGACGACCGTCAGCGGCAAAACGGCCTCCGAACGTCTGTCACGATGAGCTATTCACCAACTCGTTAATAGAAAATGCGGCGTCAACATACCTGATTCGCCCATGTTATCTGATCCTTCTCGCTGACGGTTGGTGCGAGCAGAAATCTACCCGACGGTCAGTACCCAACCGCTGACAGTCGCTGACCCAGTACCTACTTGACTTGTACCTGCGGAGGCGTAGCGTCTGCTTCAGCTACAGTGTCCCCGCCGACAGAGATCGTCACGTTGTAGCTGCCGGCACCGTCCTGCTCGTTCATGAAGTTGACTGGAGCTATCCGTGCGAGCGCATGCATCGTTCTCGTAGATTGCATACGCAGGAGTGAACTCGTTTCCATGGTTGGCATGGAGGTCTACTACTCGAGACGTGTTGCTGGTCCCAAGGGCTTCCGCCACGAAGAGTGTGGCGTACATCACCGGGCCGACCGTCCAACTCTCAAATAACGATAGGTTGGTTGGCGGAGCTGTGCGATGCAAATGTGCGTAATCGGATTAAACAGCGTGATCGGATGTACTCACGAGTAAACGGCTATGCAGCGATGATGAGCCACTACGCAAGCACCAAGAGATCGAAGCTTACATTATAGGAGACGTTCTGACCACCAACGTGCAACAGCGTACCAGTGAAGTTGCTGAACGCCATCTGCAGGCCGTAGTCCACAGCCCACAGCCCAGACGCGAAGCTGTCGCTGACGCCTGGGAACCCACCACAGGAGGCGGTGTTCGTCTCGAACATCATGAACTCCTTTCCAAGTTGTTGAGCGGTGCCAGCAGTATTGAGGTACAGCTGCACCATCTGCTGACCGGAGGCATGGGTCAGATAGTTTGGGAAGACCGCCTGGGGATCCTTGACGGGCCCGAAGCCACCGTCAGGGAATTCGGCCGCGCAGTTCTGGTCTGGATAGCTGGAGTACACAGCGAGCATCAACTAGTAGCATCGTGGTATGACAGGGATCATACGCACTGTTCCATGCCTATAACGCCAATCGAGGTGGAGTATGCATCGAGGTAGCCACTTTCCCAAAGGTCTTCGGCCTTCCAGGTGCCCTGGAGACTGACATCAGTAAACCGTGCATTAGCTTAATGGCTTAGCGCCTTAAGCCACTTAGCTCTCCCACGCATATCTTCGAGCTGCTCACCCTCAACTCCGTACAGCGTGCCAGATAATGGAGTGTAGCACAGAGAGAGACCAAGCGAGGTCAATTGGAGCCTGTACAGACATTATGACAGAGGCCGGCGTGCGCGATGACGATGCAACGCGTTTTTGCACTCGCCCATCTTAATCGTCTTAATCCGTCTTAATCGAGCATCTTGACTCTTACGACTTACTAACGCTTAATGACGTCTTGGGGGTCTTAATGCCCTTAAACACGTGTTTAGGAGATTCCCATGTTTACTGATAGGCTGGGAGCTACGAGTCTGTTGGCGTTCTTGATCTGCTTGTCGTCGTGTATCCCATTGACCATTACCCCGAACTCGTCAAAGTAGTCTTGGACAGTGCAGTTCTGAGGCCGACGCTGATGGATTAACCAAGATATAAGTATCCGGAGCACGCGATCTCGTTATTATCAAGCTCACAAGGCGTAGAGGTCCGGTGCGTTCCCGACCTGGTACCCCACAGCGTCTGCCAGACCCGCGATCTGCAGCCTGAAGTGCGCTGTGGCGTTCATTGGAATGCCGAGGAACCACTTCACGTTGACCAGGGACGACACGTTCGCGAGCAGGTACAGTAGCCCGCTGGTATATAGTCTAGCGCCGGCGTCTGACCCTGCAACCCGACGGTTTGGAGGAAGTAGGGACTCAATATCATACATGTCGTCGCAGTCTATGTCAACGCACCATGTTACTGAAGCCATTGATAGCACTGTTCACGTTGGCTATCATCGCGTTATGCGGTAAACCGTCCACCAGCGACGCCAGCTCTTGGATGTCCCCTCCGATGCGAATGCGCACGTTGTTCGCTCGATCTGCGAGCGTGGCTAGGAAGTTGAGGAAAGGGACTTGAATGAACGATCTAATGTACAGTCAGTATCTGCCGGACCACTGTGAGAGAGTCTGCCACACGTACGCGTTCTTTCCAGCTAATTACATGTGTAGACGATGGCAGATGAGGCGAGGCGCTAAATGAAGGCAGTAGATGGAACACCACTCACCAACTTGTTCCACTACCAACATCTCGATCGAGAAACCATAGAAATCGCCCCTCTGCGGTATTGACAGCCCGGACATATGTTGCCCCTGATTTGGGAGTGTGAGAGCAAACGACGTCGCCGGCATCGGGTTCGGAAGTGGAGGAGGTTGCAGCCGGACGTTGTTGTACGCGTTCAGCGCGCTGACGCATCCGATATTCCCCAAAGTCGCTTCGGGCGCGTCGCATCCCGACATCCCAGTGCGTTGTTCGGTGGACCCGGGATTGTATACCGTCATCTCATAGGAGAGCCGGAAGAACTGCGCGACGACGCATAGCAGACCGAAGGGGTATAACATAGGCTGAGCGACCCGAGAGACACTGGAGGGGACGGATGAGGGAAGAACGTCAATCCCCACCGCAGAGCAGAGAGAAGGGAGCACAACGCGCTTGTGCGGAGCTCCAGAGGTTATATCCGAGCTCGAGTCTCGAATTCAGGCCCCCGCACCGCTTGACGCGTCTCAGGACCCTTAGCAGAGGCCTTAGTGAGTGACTGCGCAGGGCGACTGCGTTATGAGCCCTACCTTTTCGACAGATCGGACGCTCGATGGGCCGAATTCGTTCGGGTTGCGTATGCATGACAAATGCCAAGCGGCCAGGTTCAAGCATCCAAACCGATAGAGTGAGCGAGGCCTTCCTATTATCGTATGCCACTGGGGGCGATCTGAGCCCGCAGACCGACGGACCTCGACAAGAATTGGAAGTGATCACGATCCATCACTTTAGGCTGTGGCTGAATGCGGTGGGTAACCGTACTCGATGAAGTCTACTCACCTAGCCAAAAGCGACAAAATGTCGCGCATGGAAGGGGCTCGTACACACGAGTAATGTCAACAACGGCGACCCGTAAGTGTGCGTAAGGTTGCCACACAAAGTCCGTGAAACTGCGCGGTCACGGCGCTGCGCCGATTGACATCGACTGTCCTACGCTTCTCGTCCACGGCGGATGAAAAGGGCCTACGGGGTCTCTTGTGGCATTGAGCGAATCTCCCGTGCTCGACACTCTTCCATGTAAGCGTCTTGCCAGCTCAAGTATCTCCGAGTGCAACTAGGTACGGATTGTCGACTTCCAAATGGATGTCAGCAGCGCTCGCGCAGAACAAGCGGACTTGCTCACCACTGAGACTGCGCCTTGGAACAGTGCAGAATTGTTCAACGCCGACCACAAGCTAGCGCAGCCTGACTTACAGCATCGAGTGCTCAAGCCGTGGTTGGGACCGGGGGAATACAGTAGAAGGGTAACAAATTGCAAGAACGCACAACCCCTACAGGTAACACGACTATTCCCTAATAAGCGTCAATGCTCGCATCGTCATTCACAACCCCGCACTATCCATCGCAATTGACACTGGCTGCTCTCTCTCACAATGACGGTGACGGGGGCGTTCATCACTCCTCCTAGTGTTGTCTCTCCGAAGTCACCTTCGTCTCACCGGCGCGTCCGACATTGAGACGTAGTTTCCAGCCCAGAACATACTCATTGACCGTCACTCACCTAGGAATCCACATCGCATAATCTTGCGTGGACCTCGAACTTGGCGAGCAGCTCCCCCAAAATGATTGGGCCATCGGGGACGCGAGCAAGCACAAGGGAGTTTTTCCTTTCAATCATCCACACTATGTAGATGTTCCACAAACGTCTTGTAAATCCATGAGTGTGCAGACTCCAATCATACTGTTAGTCGCGGCGGTGCATCTACTTTCGAGAACGTGCTGGGTAACCGGGCGTTGGCGCAAAGAGCAGTGACCGTTCCAGTCGGAGGTCCAGCGGCTCCTCCTCCTATACCAGCTTAGGAATGGATGGTGACGGCGTCCTGGCCGTATATCGTCCCAGCAGCGGTGAGTGAGGCCTGTCTAGATGCAAACAAGACAGCACACAACAAACAGTGAGGTTGGAAGGAAGGGAGAATGAACATACGACAATAAACGAGAGAGCATGCTTGCAAGTTAGTGCCAAAGGTCAAGCTTTCAACGCAGACACCTGACAGACCTTGGTATTCGAAACCCGATGGCGGACACTAAAATGTTCTCGGGGACTACAGCGCCTTGCATAAGTCCGTGAACGCGCGGATTTTTTTCTCTCCGGCGTCTACCCTACCCGACCTGCCTAAACAGGCCATATCACGGTCACAGGGACTACTCCATGACAGCGCATCACGGCCCCGTTGGTTGACCACACGCGTACCCAGGTAAATCCACAATGTTTTGAAGTATGGATATGCGTGCGGTACTTCCATGTCTGTATTTGAGTGCCTATTGGCCCCCTAGGGGATCCTGTACCCTGATCTAAACAGGAGGTACCATAGTAAAGGTGCAGTCGCATATACATGATCATGCCTGAGTCAGTGCAGTAGCTTCAACGTGTTCTCGACATGTTTCATCAACCATATGCATGTCCAACTCTCAAGCATTTAGGAGTGACTTGAGGCTGGCCACCCACAGCATCGCAAGTCATGTATTCATTGGCAAGGGCCCGTTTGATATGATCTC